GGTGTGGGTTTATGGTTGGAAGGATGAGCTTATGAGGGCATTGCAGTTAGTTGAGAGAAGGTGAGAGAGAGAGTTGGAGAGCAAGTGAACCGGCGCAATTAGCTCGCGTCAGCTGATGTCGCGTGCCCCGCTATTTGAGTGTTCAATTTCCCTGCTGTTCCCGGCCCACAAAGGCCTAAGAAACACACAATATTCGCAAGAAACTTCGAGACGCGCAAACCCACGACCCCACTGGCACATCTACACACATATCTACGCGCGATAGGCCACCACCGGCCGATTCCACGCCACTGGCACCGAAGGAGGGGCGACGCGGTTAGCGGACCGCTTGCGGTGTGTTCTTCCCATGGCACAGAGAGGTGAAGGAGGGGAAGTGAACAGCGATGAAGGGAGGGTTGGGGTTGGGTGGCGGTGTTTCTAAGGGCGGTGGGACGGATGGGTTGTCGACGGGAGGGGATCAGTCGGCAAATTAAGCGCTGTCAGTGAAACGGGAAGTGTTGACAGAGAGACCTCGGGAGGAAGGGAAAAAGAGGTCGGGTGGAGACGTTGAAGTTGGAGACTCACGTCAGACAAGGGAAGTGCTATCTAAGAGTGTACAGCAGACATCCGACGATGCACAACGGACAGAGGCTGAGGTCTCTGGGGGAAAGGGTGGAAGGCCTGGGGGCAACTGGGGTTATGAGGGTATTGCGCACGCTGGGGGGGGGAAGGGTGTCGCAAAAGGGTGGAACGGCGGTGGGTGACTTGGAAAGAGGTGTGTCTTCAAGTCTAGCAAAAGAGCTGACGCAGATCACGGGAGATCGGGGCAGAGAGATGTGTGAGAGTCAAGTGTCTGCGAGTCGGGGAAGGAGTCTGACGAGAGGCTCGGGGGCAGGGACAAGGCGCCTCAGCGTAGATCAGAGGATGGCAATGGAGGCAATGGCAATGCCAGGGTTTCAGGTTTTAGCGCCACGAAGTAAGAAAGGTGGGGAGGAATACTACTCACTTCCAACAAGCGAAATGCGCAGTAACAGAAGGTCACAGACACCTGACGTTGGTCATTTTATTCCTCGTACGTCAGGTAATGAGGGAGACCAAGGGCCCGTGAAGGATGGAGACAATCACAAAAGAGGGGGGCTGGTGCCCAGGTGGAAGAGGATGGTGAAGGGGGCAGTGCCTCGGACGAAGGTGGTGGAGGGGATGGAGAGTCCCTTGGTGGGCAGCCATCGGATGGGGGGAAGGTGAGAGACACATCGATTGCGATCCTTGACTTGTTTCATTCGCATTTTGGGGGGAATGTGGATGCTCTCCAAAGTCTGGTGTCCAATATGGGGGGAGGTGGAAGAAAGGAACCAGAGAGATTAAAGAGAAATCTCGGGGGGTGGAGGTGAAGGGTGAAAGGCGTGCACGGTATTGCGAGAACGGAAAAAAATCTCGAGGGGTGGAAGTCAAGGGTGGAAGGGGTGAAAAGTATTGCGAGATTAACAACAAATCTTGAGTGGTGGAGGTGAAGGGTGAATGAAAGGGGTGAAAAGTATTGCGAGAATAAAAAGAAATCTCGAGGAGTGATGGTGCAGGGTGAAGGAGGTCCCGGATATTGGGATGACAAAAAGAAATATCGCGGGCAGAAGGGAAGAAAGCAAGGCCAAGGACCGGGATCAAAACAGACTCGGGGGGGGCTGGGGTAAAGAGAAAACAATCGTCACGCGAGAACATCGAAGACGACTCGGAGGGTGGGACTGTAGAGTAGTGTACTCATATTGGTGCATGCCGTAGTTGTTAGACCATTGACCTCGCATCCCTACAAAGCCGGGACGGAGCACGCCGGGTTCTCACCGGACCAGGCTCTCACATCACCAAGCGCGAAGCGCCGTGACGTATTCGGCGAGTCGAATGAAGGGTGCCTGCATCCTGCTAAGGGTGTTCGGCATCTTGTGCTTACTTCCTTGCGTACGGATGACAGCTGCGTGTGACTTAATATATTTTTTGGTGCTTTCACTTCCTGAGACAGTTGTAAGCGCTGTGTAACTGCCTCGAGGGTGCTTGACCATTTTAACACAACGTGGTGCGATCATCCCCCCTGCGCGGAGTGAGGGTTCTCGACCCCGCACAACATGATCTACTCAACCACCGATATGGTTACCGCCAAAAAAAAGAGGTAAAAAAACCCGGTAACCTGGTTGCCGAGTTCACGAAGGGAATTGGCTTGTTTTACAACGTCGTTACCACGCGACGAAAACCCAATACCGATGACAAACACCGGGGGGGAGGAGGGGGGCCAATCGGTGGTGCACAACACCGAGGGTGATGGCCTGGCGACGGGGAGCGTCTCGTCCAACCACGGTAAGCGACGTTTTTCAGCATCCAAAGAGTATTTCAAGCAGGGTGGAAGTAATTATCCCAAACTGCGAATGGTTTCGGGTGCTGATGAATTGAACTGCACGGATGAAGGCCGTGGGAGCAAGAATGTATTGAGGACTAGTACCCCGCAAGAAATTCTTGGTCGTGGTGTGCCGCAAGATGCACGTGCACAGCTGCAGGAAACAATTACTAGTAAGACGCACAGGGATTTTCCAGAAGTAGGGGTGCCGAACACGCCCCCTTCGTCAGATCAAACGAATTTTAGCATTGACACAATGGGAATGTTAATGAAAATGCAAAACAAGCGAGGAATGCGTTAAACACTCAAAGGGAGGAAATACGCAAGGCAAATTCTCCAAGAGCAGTGAGGTGTCCGCTGGATCCTCAAGCGGAGCACACTGTTGGTCGAAATGGTGCCAAAAAGGGGTCGATTAATGGGGACGCTAGAAGGGAAAAATGCGTTACCGTTAATCGTGCTGGGGGCAAGCAGAACCATGAAACTGTTGCATTACCAGTGATAGGAGAAGAGGGCGTGATACGGGATGCACCCGCCTCTGAAAATTCTCTCAAGCGTGAGGTTGAGGTAACAGCGCGGGAAGGAGGAAAATTTGGTGAAGCACAGGAAGGAACAGATCGCATTTTTGCCGTACAAGTATCGGTTACTTTTGTGTCAGGACAAAGGAGGAGTGATGCGGTGTACCCTCCGCCTCCATTTACGTTTGCTGCAGGTGAAGCGGTGGACTACCTGTCACCATTTACTCGGTCGGTCGGTGGGGATTTGACGATGGATCGACATCGGCATACGACTAGAGTGCAAGTGTTCGCGGGGTCAAGAGCGACCAAGATAATGTCGTGGGAGGCTCTGTTGGATACGGGAAGTCCGGCATCGTTTGTACAAAAAAGGTCTGTGCAAAAGATGTTGGCATGTGGTTCACCTTCAGCTGATAGCATTGAAACGGGGCTGAACAAGAAATGGGATGGGTTTAATGGGTTGCCATTTGGTACAGATCAAAGAATGCGATTGAATATTGAAATGTGGAAGGGCGGGAAACCAGCGCCGGTTCATTCGGTACACCGACAGTACGGACGAGTGTGTATGCGTACATTGTGCCAGACTCGGCCAAGGGACATGATCTGATACTAGGGAGGGATAGCTGGGCTGGTTTTCCAGTTCGCAAATTCCAAGACGTGTCGGACACAGAAACAATTGTCACGTTTGTCGGTGCAAATATTGATGAAGTGGCAGGAGATCACCGCTTTGATGAACGGGTAGGTAACGCGGTTGATACGGTGGAAACTGAAGGCGATGGAGAGGTGGTGGTGAAATCTAATTGTAGTAGACGATGGCTTCCAAATGCAATGTCATGGGTGGAGGTAAAATTGACCAACCTAGATGGCAGTGACGCTGCGGTGGGGACGTACCGTGTGCAGTTTGGGAAGAAGTGGTTCCCGCAGGAAGCGTTACTCGAAAATGACAAGTCTGAAATTTCTCTTAGAAGAGTGGGGGATAGCTCGTGCCTGGTGAAACCAAACGATACTACGGGTATGGTTGTGAACCCCTGGAGGTGGTAAATCTGGATGATGCTCGTTTGGTGGAAAATGAGGAATTCAAAAATGTATTTGCGGTTCAGGAGGGTGAAGAGGCTGGCATGCCAAACGACGAACCTCCCGCTGATGTTATGTCTTCTTTGAATGGGGCGCAACAGGTGGCGTTCAGGCGGTTGTGGCAGAGGGTGCCTCCGCACATTCGAGACGTCCACTTTGACTTCAATGCGAAACTGTGGGAGCCGGAGGACATTGACAATCTAGGGACGGGGCAGAACACGTGCGCGACCTGGAGAGGTTTTTCGAGGGCATGGTCAAGTTCAACCTGAAACTGGCACCCAAGAAGACGAACCTGGGGGTGAAGGTGGTGACGTTCTTGGGACATCAAGTCACGGCGAAAGGGATCGGGCCGGACCCTGAAAAGGTGCGAGTGGGGCGCTACCTTCGCGATTGGGTCCGGTGTATACCGAGCGAGAGGCGCTCGCTGGGTCGAACCATCGCGATGATTTTGTGGTGGGGGAAAGTGGCTGTACATCGGCAAGCCTCACTACAGACGAACTGGCCGACAAGACGTGGGCGCTGATCCGAAGGGAAAAGGGCGTGTCCAACCCTTTGCCTGATGGTGCGTGTGTGCCTGATGACACCCGGTTGGTGGAACCGAGTGGGGAAGCAGTCAGTGGTCAGGTTGAGCCAGGGCTGATAATACATGCTGTTCCTTTAACGGAAGTTGGCAGACGCTTGTTAGGATTGGTGGAAAAACCGCGAGTGAATGCTATTTCTCAAGGAGGGGGCAGTGCCTGTGGTGGTGGTGGTGGTAGTAGTAGCAGTAACGCTCGTGGGAGTGGGGCTGTTGCTGGTGGTGGGGGTAGCAGTAACGCTCGTGGAAGTGGGAATGTTGCTGGTGGCGGGGGTGGCAGTAATGCTCGTAGCAGGGTTGTTGCGCGTGGAAGGGGTCGAGGTGGTGCGGCTCGAGCAAGCGGGGCTGCTGGTGGTGTTAGGGGAAGGTGTTCCGGGGGCAGAGGTCCGGCAGCAACCCCGTTGCCTCAAATTCCGTTGCAAGGGTATGATGAAGAACAGGCGCAAGCGGCAATTGAATTTGGGGAGAATTTATGTGGTGTTTTGAAGTGCGTAGGACTGCGGAAAAGTGTGCCAAGTGGTGCAGTCGAATACGGGTCAAAATTTAGATGTGGTATTTTTGAAGTGCGTAGGACTGTGGAAAACTGTGCCACGTGGTGCAGTTGAATACGGGTCAAAATGAACGCTGTGTTTGAGCAATTGCTGTTTTGGCTGGAGAATATACCTTGTGATGGAGTCATGATCGCAGTGGTATAACGGTCGTGACCGAATTGGAGTGTGTGGGTATTGCATGATGAGTTGATTTCTGGTGATTAATGTTCGGACTTGTTGCAAGGGAATGACATTGGTTGAAGGTCAGGCATTGCACGTTGTAGTCAAGTGTTGATTCAAACGAGACTGATCGCAGATAAGTATAGTCTATTCGATATACTCGTAGCATAGCATGCGGGTGGTATATTGGGTATACATATGCGGGTATTGCAGTGACGAGCTACGGAGGAACAAGAAGTTTCTTTATGTTTCCTTGGGAGTGTGGTAGATTGGTGGACATTCATGGAGATCCGTTTTGGGTGTTTGAGCGTTATGCGTGACTTGATGCCGTGATGGAATGACGAGCTCAAGCACGCCCCCGATGAATACAACACATAATACAACACGTTTTCCAACACGTCTGCACGACGTTACCCACCCCTACGGCCCGTAATGGCCGAGCTGCTCTACACTCCCATCGCACACAACAGAGCCACCCGAATGATCGATCACGCTAGCATATGACACGTCGTCTACGAGATTCGCGGTCGAGCTTGGTATAGGAGTATCGCTTTGCGGCGATCGAGAGCAGGGTCAAGATGGCTACCAGGCGCGAAGATGGAGCCCGCCAAGCAGCGGAGGACGCCAGGATCGAAGAACAAGATAGTTTCCGCAGCGTCGACAAGAGCGCGCGGGTTGAAGCTGAAGAAGTCAACAGGAGTCCGGACGTCAGTTGCGAGGTGAAAGCAGGAGAGGGTTAGACAAAAGCCATGCGAGAGAGCGAAGAGTACGAGGTAGGCCAGCAGCAGGGAGCGCGCCTAGAACCATCGACCACGCCCGCGGACGACATCCCCCTGACCATNGGCCGAGCTGCTCTACACTCCCATCGCACACAACAGAGCCACCCGAATGATCGATCACGCTAGCATATGACACGTCGTCTACGAGATTCGCGGTCGAGCTTGGTTTAGGAGTATCGCTTTGCGGCGATCGAGAGCAGGGTCAAGATGGCTACCAGGCGCGAAGATGGAGCCCGCCAAGCAGCGGAGGCCCGCTAAGCAGCGGAGGCCCGCCAAGCAGCGGAGGACGCCAGGATCGAAGAACAAGATAGCTCCCGCAGCGTCGACAAGAGCGCGCGGTTTGAAGCAGACGAAGTCAACAGGAGTCCGGACGTCAGCTGCGAGGTGAAAGCAGGAGAGGGTTAGACAAAAGCCATGCGAGAGAGCGAAGAGTACGAGGTAGGCCAGCAGCAGGGAGCGCGCCTAGAACCATCGACCACGCCCGCGGACGACATCCCCCTGACCATCGCGCGAGCCCCCGACGGGCGGCTCAGCGCATTACAGCAGCACCACTTCCGCTACTAGGGTCCCAGACCCGCTCAGGCACGTGATGAAATGATCATGTCCTCTGTCCGAAGACGAATATGGCCTTGTTTTGTTTTCCGAAAGTTTTTTTGTCTTGTGTCTGAACCGTTTCCTGTGTTCGGAATTCTGCGAAATGTGTGATGTTGGGATGAAAGAGAGAGTACGATTGTCACAAACGAGATAACTGATCGTGTGAGGGGTTATCAAGCCACCAACAGCACGTATGAAAATCGTGCAACGAAAAGAGTATGAGGGGCTTTTGTCACACCAAAAGCAGTACGGAAATAAAAAAAAAAGATTGATACGTAACTTTGTTTTTGGGACTACCACGTCACCACCGACACAACAGCAAAGCGTGGACATATTACGCATTTGAAGGACAGTCAGAATTCTTGACGCAAGCACGTAGGATTTCATGGCAAGTTTGTAGGAGATGTTGGGTAGAATTTCGCTGGAGAGAACAGCAATATGCGTGGCAGGACCTCGGCGAAAAGCGAGACTTGACCCAAGACTGACGTTTTCCGACTAGATCGCAGAGAAAAATAGTCCGAGGCATCACTCAGCCAAGAAGCGAGGTTGACCCAGAAAATAAATTCCCGACTAGATCGTAGAGGACAGCATTAAGAGGCAATACTCAGCATGACGCGGAGCAAGATCCACCAATTGCGTTCCTCCGAAAAGATCACTCAAGAACATTTCAGTGGCACAACACGAACTTTGAAGTTTCACGGCGTGAGCAGAAGAGAAATTTTGGATGTCCAACTGTATTTTATTTTGTTTTGGTACAGCAGTCACCCCTGTGCAGAACCGGGGGGAGTGTTGTGGAATGTGATTCTCCTCAGGAGTGCTGTTTTATAAGGAACTGATTGTGCCACCATCTTCCCTTCCGAACGCGCGACCTGCCCTCCACCGCTGCCGAGTCAATCCTTCTGGAGCGACAATTGTGGTCTCCCCCAACGAAGGCGGGCGATTTACTGACGATGCTCCAGCCGCGGCCAGCCGGACGAAGAGCACAGAAGGCGACCGCGGCGGAGGCGAGCGAAAATCCGCGGGGGAGAAACAATGGCAGAGGCAGTGGTCCAATGCGCTGGGGTTTATGGGTGGAAAAGTAGGCGCATTGAGGTTCATTTTGAGTTTGATTTAGTTTGAGATTTGGCGTTTGTGTTGTATGATTCAAGCTTGGGTTTGGTTTTTCAGATCGGATTGAAGTGTGGATGAGAGGATCAGAAGTACTGTTTTGATTTTCGGCACCTCTCGTATTGTTTTTCGGCTTGACTCCGACCCCTTCACAAAGCAGGGGGGCGGATCCTCGGAGCAGGGGGGCACGTTATATTCTTTCAAACGAAATGGCGTTGCTGACATTTCTTCACCGGACATTATTGATATATGTTGAGTATTTCAGGGAGATATTACTTCTTCGCGTTTTACCTGCGGACGAAGGTTTGGTGGATGAATGGAATATTTTGTCTTAGGATTGCATACGTCTTGGTAATGGTAGGATATCTAGCCTATTGTGACGAATTGGCGGTGAAAGGAAAGGCGTCTTTGAACGGCGTTCGTCATATTCTTCTGGATGAAAAGAGTTTGAGTTGAGAATATTCAGAAGGGAGCGAGAGTGATTGGCGTGTGTTGGTATGCTATTTGGATACTTTTGTCGTGTAACCCCAAGGGTTAGCAGAGCGATAAAATACAAGAAAACAAAAGAATCAGAAAAAAATGAATAAATAAGTAGTGGAACGTGCGCACCGCCAGCCTGGGGGGTAGCCTCCCGGAAGGACCCCAAGGGTCAGCAGTACGTGCCAGTAAAACAACAAAACAAAA